AGTATAGAAATCTCTCTGACCTAATGGTAATTCATTTCCTCAGCCATGGCAAGGTCGTATTAATTGGATTAAGATAAGGACAGTTGCTATGGCAACCATATCTTCCATTTGAAATTTAATTTGTTATGATTTTATGATGAAAAGTCTCAGCAATCATTACACTGAATCCATTACACTTCATGAAGAGTCAGAGTGATTTATAAAACTGTAATAGGAATTAACCCAACTTTTAGATTAAAAAAAATAGTTGAGACTGTGACTCAGTCTATTGTTGTATAATAAATCTATATATTATGATCATCAAGAGTCTAATAGTTATAGATATATTTGAGTTGATTCTTATCCATTGCTTATTTTAGTGTTGTAACAACTCCAGCTATAATTTTACTACCAATATTACTATTACTACTGATAACTACTGAGAATTATTTAAAGACAGGTATTTTCTTGAAATATKTTTTTGGTTCTTTTTTTGGCAACTGTCAAGTTTTCAATAAAAAGAAATGATGTCTTAAATATCAAGATGATGTTGACAGACAGAGGTGTAAATGTCTGAATATTATCTAATTCACATCAATCAGATATAAACAAGACTTAGAGTTCCATGATTTGAGCATCAAAATCCTTATAAAATGGATTTAAGAGGAAATGTTTTTCAATAACGAGCAATAATGGCAAAAAGTGCCAAAAACTAGACCTTCGTATGAGTTTTGATCCCAATTTTTGGTTTGGGTTAACACTCAAAACCTTTTTTTAACAGTTAGAAACTGATGTACTATGATAAAATGCTTGTTTGAAGTGATATTTTCAATTGTACAAAGATGTTTTGTTGCATTTGTGTTAGAATCAAGCTTTGTCAGGCTTTTTTATAGAAAATGTAAAATGGGAAATAAGCAAATGAAAGCCTAAACCTCATTTTCGATTCAAATATTTGCTTTGGGTTAACACTTTGACTCAATTTTTATCGGTCATCTCCACTTCCAAACAAATTAAACTTTCTGAAAAACAAGATTTTAGTCTTGTACAACAGTTTTTCTTCAAGAAAATAGTTTTTGGCGCTCACTGCCTGAATATGAAAAGAATTCTCTCTTAATCAGTGTGAAAGAAATCCAGTTTGAGTAAGGGGCTTAGTTCAACAGGTGTTCTGCAGGTGAAGATATGATAGACAAATACAGAGGATAATAATTACAATAAAGTGGCATTCTACAATCTTTGAGACATGAATGAACTACAAATCGAACATTCATTTACTCCAGCCTACAAGTGTCTAGCAACATTAGTTCTWTAGTTATCAAAATAATTGACAACAAAACAACCATAAGCCTCTCACAATTCAACACAAAGATCATGTTATCAACAATGAATTGTGGTAATATACTCCTATGGCAGGTTTTATAGTCAACAAAAACTACCCTATATTACTAAGCCTTCAGACTAGATACTGTGGAAATATCTCATTTTATGAACTCACCCCATTTGTTTCCTCAACAGAGGTTTTTATGGARCACTGTATTTTTTTCTCCTCTGTTTTCTCCACCACTTCATTACCAACCCCTGCTTGGACCAAACATGAGTAGATTGAAGATTCTTACCAGTAAATTTGATCAAAATGACTATCAAACATATGCCAGAACCTAATTGTTACCTTCCTGGGAAGCACCTTGCCCCATGCTGTAATGACTAGAGATGCCCTAGATAAATAACCCTTTAATTTAGAGTTACTTTCAGGCAAAAAACTATAGAGAAAACCTACATTAGTTAAGCCAGTTTTTTTTTCTTGGTATTAATTATTGATTAGCTATATGGTTCCTTAGCTTTACTGTGTAATGGTAGTCTGTGATGGTAGCTAGAGAAGAGATTGGATTCTAATTTACATTCTTGTTGTCTGATCTCATAACATCAGAGTGAAATGAATGGCTCCATCCAATGGAACAAACAATAACAAAGGGATAAAAAAGATTAGAAAAACTATTTTTTATATTAATGATATAACCTAAACTGCTGTTAAGTAATTATGAAGCTGTACTATGAACACTGTAAGTATAGAAAACCAGTTGCCAAGGCAAATAATTAACCTAATATGTAAAATATAACCAAGATACTCATCATTACGAACAAAAAAGGCAATCCTAAGCAAAAAATAAATTTAAAATTGAAGAAAAAATACAAAATTACTAAAACTTTTTCAACATGAACATTCGAATATTCAAAACAATAACCCAGCTATACACGTAGTTGTGAGGAACTAAAACTAATATTAAAAAATTTTACACACAATTGAAGGCTTGAAGACTAAGAATGCCCATTATTTTATAAATCTAATGATAATATGACTATTCATGGCTATTAAAATCAAGAGAAGATGAATGAATGAYAGAAGGAAGATAGTCAACAGGTGGTAACAGGTGGAAAGAAAACTAGTTTTTGTCTAGTATCTACAGAATCAAAATACACTAAAGAATAATAAAAACAGAGAAATTAACAAAAGATTCATATAGCTATAACAAAAATATTTACTTTCTCAATTAGATGGTATTSTGAACATTCCAATTAGAATGTTTAGAACAAGCTAACTTTCAATGATCCCAACTTATAGAAATAGCTAAGCCTCAATACTTAACGATACTGTTACAATAAAAATGATCAAACAAACAATTTTGTTTCTACTGTATTGTATTCTGAGGGGATGAAATTGTTACTATATTGTTACTATATTTACACAATTGCTAAATTGTTACAGTTTCCAAATACAGTCAACTTGCATATACATGTAGTCATTATGGCACACATCCTCAGGATCATCACTTGGTGTCCATAATAGAGAGKGTCCACAAAAGTGAGAGTTAATTATGGTCATTTCTTTGTCACTGAAGGTTTTTCTCCTCCTTGGGGTGTCTGTTAAATTGGGGTGTCCRTAATATTGGRRTGTCCATAATAYTGGGTTGTCCGTAATACTGGGGTGTCACAAGGTGAGAGTTAACTTTATCTAAATCAAACACCCTCAAGCAATAGGCAACATAGAAACAGTGACAGGACTTAAGATTGCTTATGATGGAAACAGTGTGTTAGCTCTGTACTCTATCCATGAGCATATTTGTCATCCCCCCCCTCCCCAGTGAAAAACACCTGGGTACACCCCTGACTAAAGAATAGCCCCCTTGGCAAGTGACATCAAAGAAGCTGAATTTGGAGGACAAAACSAAAGAATTTCAATCTCCTGAGAATAGGAAAACTATTGTTATGTCCTGGGTATACTCCTGACCAAAGAATAGAGACCCATGTAGACCCCTTGGCACATGACATCAAAGCAGCTCAATTTGAAAGTAAAAAAACAAAAGAATTTTGATCTCTTGGGAATTGGAAACCTAATGTTATGTCCTCCAAATGGAGTTGCATTCYGAGGTCCTGCAAGGGGTCTATTGATGGTTTGCAGCCATTCTCAAGTGAGTGAAGAAACATGGTGGCCATGTTGGTAGTATTAACAAAGGAAGGTACTGATAAGTAACTACATGGCCAAGGTGATGTAATGAGCAGTTGAAAATATTTTGCTTTCAGATGCTGAAAAATTCTAGCATATGGTTTCATTTGTTCATAAATACCTTGGTAATGGWTCTGGTTGAGAATTTTATTTCTGGTTCACCAATAAACATCACTTTAACTTCAAACAATGGAGGAGTGTTGTTCAGCTGCARTGCAACCTAGAATATAAAATAATGAACTTTGAATGACTTGTACTGGAAAAATGTTATCCTCAAAGGAAAAAAGCAAAAACAACAGAAATACATTCCAATAACAAGAATCTACCAGGTACATTTTTTTCTAATTGTCTGTTTACTCTCAATTCTGGGTATCTTTTCAATAAATATTGAGGGAAAATAACAATAATTCTCATTAAAGATAAAGACAGTTTATTTTTTCTGGTCCAGTATCCTAAAAAATGATGTGCACTCTGAAAACGGATTGTTAAACAACAAAACAAATTGCAAAACTGGTGGAACAGTAAATGGGCCTAAAGTCTGTCCAGATAGGAAAAAAACTGTGCCCTCTGGCTAACGGCATCAGTCTAAATAGTTAAGACCTTGGGCACAGTTTTTCTCTTCCTAGACCTAGCCAGTTTAAATATTTATTTTCAGAGGAAGATCCAGGGTCATTTCAGCCAGTACGTAGCATACTCTTTATATTTTATATGTAATATATACAGTATGAGTGGCCGTGTTGTATTGGATATACARCCACRAGGCGTAGCCGAGTGATTGTATATCTGATAMAACACGGACACRAATACTGTATATGACTTATCAAACTCTAGGTTAGTTCYTTTGTGTTTYGCTAAAATTTTCAARATTAAAGTGAATTTGGCCAAGAAAATCCAACTTAAAGTTTATGCAAATGWACACAGTTTTGTATCAGATTTACAACACTCTTYAYGGTCGTGATTTCTGTTGTGTTTTCTWCATKAATTATTAATGAGTTTGATAATATTATTTATTCTCATTTTCAACCACAAAGGAGAGATACATGTAACAAGCCAACCAATCAAACTCCAGGACCCACCTTTATTTTTGGGTTCATTTATTTAAAGTTAAATACATGGGTAGCACTTAATGTCTGGGGTACTACCTTATAGAATTGGGTGCTTTGGATACTTTTTGGAGTAGTTGTATAAATATTRCATGTGCCACCTACCTCACCAACCAGTTTGACTACATTAACCTCTAATATAACATTCTTGGAAGTACCATTAGCCATTGGTTGGTTCACATGGACATGGAAACCAAGTTCTGTTGACTCTACATGGAAGGTGATACACTGACAAACAAGCAAATATTTATTAATAGCCAAAATGGCAAGGCAATACTTTTTTTGATATCATAAAATCAAGGTTATAATTCCTAGGTTTATATATTCATTCATAAGAGTTTTTGATAGAGACTAGGGGCATCATGGTTTATGCTGGGGGTGTCATGGTAGTACAGACTGGGGGCATCATGGTATACGTGGGGGAGTCATGGCTGGGGGCATCATGACAAGGGGGTGTCATGACTGGTTACCCATAAATGTGAGATTCAAAAAGGTGGGCTTATAACCAGGGTGGACTTGTAACCAGACAGGGTGGGTGTTTCTCCACTTGYTGAATTTTAAGTTTCAGCCTCTCTTCCATTACACAGTTTGACCACAGGAAGCCCAAATAAGAATTGCATCATTTGAGCTATAGGAAGCCCAATCTAATGGCAATTTATTTAAAAGACAGTCTCCTATTAAGCTTTATATTCATCCCCAAATTCAAATAATCTTGTGAAGGCTGACACTGAGACATTCCTGATTTTTTGCTCATTTTGGGGAAATTGCTAAATTCCATGACCAAAATTAAAATTACCTAACAATTCTCTGACCTTGAAAAAGAAAACAGAATTCACTGACTTTTSCCTGACAGTGGAAACCCTACCTTACTTTCAAAGGTGCTCTACAGCCCTTAATTAATAAAGTAGCTATTTAAAAGTGGGTCCAGCTCTGTACTAGCCCGAGGGCAGATATAATGGGGTATARGTGGTATCTGTTTTGAGTTTTGACCACACCTTGCATTTTCAGATTCCATTGTCAAAATGTTGGATCTGTTCCTATAGCCTGTACTGATGTGTTTAATAGTGATTAAGGCAATGAAATATTGCTACCTTACCTGCATTGTGCCGTCAACACACAAGCAATAAACACCCGTCAGCTTAGGTGGAAGACATCCAGAGCRAATATCGGTGATAACAATTCGTTGATTATCCTGAAAATAATATTCATATTAAATAATTATTCATGACAGTATACRTGAATGAATGAAAAGAAAAATTAACACTGAGATAAAATCACATTAATATATTACTTTGCAGGGTTTAAAATTAGCTAAAATAACAAAAATAATTGAACTTTTAATTTTACCAAAAAATTTTCTCTTTTTGAAAAATTGCATTTTCTGTATAAAAAGCTAAGGATTAAAGAGATAAKTGGACAGCTGGCTACCGACTTTGCAAATGATTTGTGATTATAAACCTTGATTGGATTTTAGGTACAATATTAATTCATCTAACCAAACATAACTGAGACATCAACAAGAAACCATCAGCAACCCTTATATCTTTACTGAAATGTTTGTCTTTTAGAGAAAAAAATTCAAATCTTAATTTATTAAGATGTTTGTGAAAACAATAACTTTAAACGCTAAAGATAAATCATTTAAAAGGTCTTTTTGAAACTGTAATAAATATTAAAGAGTATTATGGTGGGCGACCAGCAACCCCCCCATTGACCAATGCTCTTTCCCCACGCATCAAGATGATTAGCACATAGCATACATTCTTTACAATTCTGATGTATTATTTTGATTATTTACAAACTCTTGTTTCCACTAAAACACCTGTTGAAGAAATTTTCAATACTCAAACTAAAAAATTCAACCAAATGAGTAAGAAAAAACGTTGCGTCGATGGGGGGTTTCCATATTGTGATCAAGTGTAGATATAAAAGAAAAAAAATTGGCGAATACTAGGTCTACACGTTGATCAAACATTGGATTATTTTTGACCATGTTTTATAAATATTCATGCAAGATTAATTCAAGCAAGATTAATTCAAGCTTACCTTTCTGGTCTTATAGAGTTCTCTGTTTAGATTTCTTATCCATAGTTTGACTAAATCTGGGGTATTTTTGGAGTCTGAATGAAGATAAAGCCAGGCTAGAGTTGAATTCAGCCATTGACATGTCTCGCTTGTCACAGCTCTGTTGTCTTTAATAAACGTTCTCGTTCCTCGTCTTCGGATTGATTTTTCACTCTTGCCCTTATTCCGAGACTTCAAGAAGATGTAGAAAACTAGAGACAGCAGTAGAATGTGCAATAAACCGAAGTAGAACTTGACAGGCCAAGAATTGCCATATTGGAAGTGGCTGGCTGTCTCCATTACGCTTTCTTTGATCGCTTGAGTGACAAAGAACGCGTAACGCTTCACCTCGTCCATACAGAACTGTCTAGTGTCTTAGTAAAGGCAATAACAAACGAAAAAATAAATAAATAAACACYCAATTGGCGGTCGACTTTATCGAGAAAATCCTGGAATTTTTTCTTTCGCTGTATAAAAAAACAGTTTACTCACCAACACTAAAGAGATTGCGGTTCGCTTGGCGTTGGGCTCCAACCGGTCACCTCAGTATTCTAATGCTAGACATATTATTGGCCATCCTCTCTGATAAAATATCGAGTAAAATCACGTTGTCATGAATTTAAGTATGAATATTTCATAAGGAGTACAATAGGTAATTTCTTTATGAAAATATTTCCGTCTACCAGCTGSACTCGGCGCCAAAAGCCGGAGGCAGTACGAATCGATCATTACTCGTAAGACTTCCTCTAAGAATAGAAGAGAATGTGAACAAAAAGCCGAACTAACAATGATGCATAAGAGAAAAGAGGATAAAAATAGAGAAGGGGAGAAAACTTGMAAAGATGTTAAACACTGAGAAACACTGAAAATGCAAAAGTAAACTCTGCGGTCTCCCATAACGCATCGCGCGGCTCGGTATTTTCCGAACTTTCACCGAACATCGATCGAAAGCATTTCGAAGTCTCTCCGGCTCCGAAAAAATTTTTTTTGRTCGATTTGACTACATTGTAGCGAGTTCCTCGATGTAGAATTATAAAATAATTGCGCTAAATCTCGCGTTCCGATTAGTTGAGAGCGAGTACTTTATGAGAGCACACACGCGCACTTTCAGTTTCGTCGTTTATTCATTTATTTTGTATTTTATAAAAGAAATAAAAAACTTGCTTGCTGTGTTGTGTGGAGTTAGGAAGCACTTGGGAATCGATTGGCAAATCACTCGAGAAGTGTTGAGAAGCACTCCGCTACGCGTCGTGCTTCTTCCTATAACACTTCTCTCGTTTTCTACCAACCCTTGCGTGCGTTAAGACTGCACACAGTACGCGTGTGCGTTTTCTATTTTTTTAAATAGAGCGCGCTCGCTCAACCTCTTATGTGAAATGTAACTTGATAGGAAGGCGTTTTTTCATACAATTCGAGTGCAGTTCTTTTCTCTTTGTAATCATTGCACAGAATATATTTGTTTACTTATCGATTCTTAGTTTTGTTAATCACATCACTTTTTTTGCAGATGGAACCTGAAGTAATTCATAATTTGATTCCATTCATAAACTTATTCTGTTACGTCATCAAAGGAAAATTAAAAGAACAATGTGAAAAGAACATGGGGGCGGCTTGTTCGCGCCGCAGCAAAGTAACCCAAATAAAAGTTGCTCCCCAGCCTCAAATTGAAGGAAGTTACGATACAGACGAGCTCTTTATGAACTGGGGTARACCCAAGACTTATAATTACCACACTGCAACAGCTACTCCAACAGCTACTGCAACAGCTACTGCAACATCTATAGATGATAAAACAGTAGTCGATGTATCTTCTACATCCACCTTGGAGATGGGACAACCCACAGAAAAAGCGAAAATACAAGCTGCTGTTTCACTGGAAAGGTAGGAAAATACGTCAGGGGAAAGTTCTGATTTTTGAGGATGCATGTAACAGTCGAATGCATGTAGTTGTTTTCGTTTACTTCAGCAACGCGCGCTCTTAAAGTACAATTAAGCACTAATCTACAAGTGCACTGGATAGATATAAACATTCAGGAGGGCGGGATGGCAGGGCATTCAGGGCCAGGGCTGGTCAAGCAACTTTTGGTCAAGCATTGCCTCTGCTAGAATAACAAGATTTCTTATAAAATACTACTAAGATATGAAAGAACATCTTACAAATTTCACTCTTTATATTCAGGGAACCCAAGGACTTCAGAAGTGAAGTCTTTCCAGACATTGWTGCTAGAGATACCGTTACCAAGGATACCGTTGCAAATACGATTAAATATGAAACACCTCCCAATRATAAAAGCAGTATCGACATTACAAAGAAAGTAGCCAAAATACTAGACACAGTTATTCCACCCGAGTCTCCTGTCCAGACTCAAACACGGGTGGGACGTCAATCAAGATTAATGCACGCTGACTTGAACACTGTGGTCTCATATGACGTCATAGGGTCTGCGGAACCTCTTCGTAAAAAAGGAACAAAGCAAAAGAAAAGRAAAGGAAAGCCCGCGTTAATCACCGTAAAACCAGGCACAAGTAACATCCCTTCCCCAGAAAGTCCAACTAAATTTCATGTGTGCAAGCATGGGATTCCCCTTCTGGATGAACTAGACGACGAAGAGGGGGTCGGGTGCGCAAAATGYCAACGACCTGAATCCCGTGGGGGTAGGGACCTACAAGAACTGTTGAAACTGAGAAGAGCCTCGAGGAGAAAAACCAAAAGAAAGTCACGGGCAAAAACTAGTGAGAGACGTGAGACAATTGTGGAATATAGGGGTTAAATTGGTTACGACTGAGATGTTGGTATTCAAGAGTTCACTGAATATGATCAGTTGAAGKGCAGAGCAAATAGTYCAGTTTCGAATTCCAAATTACCGCTGTGTTTCTTGATTACAGACTCATTTGCACAGGGTTAGCCTCGAATCAGTGTTTAAATATTCACAAATACCAACGGTAAAATTAAAGAATGCACAACTTCAACAATACAAAAACTTTGAAACTTGACGGACCTTRACTGGAACACGTGAATATTCTGCATAAAGTCGAGGCTAACCCTGTGCAAATGAGTCTGTAATCAAGAAACACAGCGGTTATTTGGAATTCGAAAAGGGTCTATTAAGAAAGAACTAAATCAGTAATGAAAAACGAGATTATACACAAAATCAAGCTATTCGATACTAGTGGTTAGGTCTATAATATAATAAGCAAACCAATTAGCGAAACAATTACAAATCAACCTAAAATGAAACTAGAGAAAACAAATACAGGTCAATAGAGTGCAAACAATAAATCCGTGAAACACTAATTACTAAATAGTACAAAATAGTGCTAATTAAACAATAGAAAACAATGGAATTTGCATGAAATTGTGCTATTTAGTATTTCTAAAGTTTCACGGTCATATTGTTTGCACTCTATTTTGGCGGTAACTTTTTAAGCTCAAAAATATAGTAAAGCAGACGAACACGATATTAATGATGTGCGGTGGTTATTATATACATATATACGTCTATTGATGGTTTTCAACCATTCCCAAGAGAATCAAATAACAAAAGACACGGCAGCCATGTTGGAGGATATGACAAAAGAATTCATTGACAATTGTTTTGTTAAGTCCCTCCAACATGGCCGCCGTAAAAACCATCAATTAGCCATTTCGAGGCCAAGTAAAAGAATGGGTCAAGTTGGATTTCCAGTGTATATGGGACTGTTTTAGGGGAAGAATTAGACGTCATCTTGGAAATRTGTCCACTAAAACAGCCGCACACTGCATTGCAAAGCCAACTTGAACCAACCAACTTGAAGTCTTTCTCTCAACCTCCGAACGGYTATATAATATTCAGTACATGAAAAGCTAACGTAGTTGGCAGAGATCCTCTAGACCCAGTGCTCAAGGAGCGTCGAGGAGGACGGAGGTGACGTCTACAAACGAGAAGCACTGGAACGAGAGAGCCTGGCCTCCTGAGCTCCGGATATCAGATATTGCTAAAAAAAGTTCCAAGTTAAACTACAAAAACTTTCTTATCCCAAGTTCCTAGCAGTTTTTGGAAAACACTCTATTTTGATSAAATTTGGTCACTACAAAATTAAGGGGGACGGGGGTTTCTGAAACCCCTGGAACACAACCCTAAGTATATACGTACGCCCCCGTGTATTAATTTTTCTATGCATCATTTTACTGACCGTTTGTCCTCTGGCTCCTAATTTAAGGAACTTGACGGCCCACGATACCAGAACACGAGTATTATCATGCATTGCTATGATCTTTTTTTTCGATAAGAATTCATAAAATCCAATTTTACTAAATTTGCGTTTTTCAGTTTTATGGCCCGTCAAGTTGGATGCGCATGCAACCTTGAGAAAACGGTCTATTCCTAGCAGTTTTTTTTTACAAAACAATCTATTTTGATAAAATTTGGTCACTACAAAATTTTATGGGAAAGGGGGTTTCTGAAACCCCCGGAACACGACCCTAAGTATATACGTACGCCCCCGTGTATTAATTTTTCTATGCATCATTAACTGACCAGTTGTCCTCTGGCTCCTACCCCGCAAAAATGCATACGAAGTATCATGGGGATGTGAAAGTGGAGAATAAACTACAAATATATCAAACTTGAAAGTTAGTAGACATAACTTATTCTAAACATATATTGAGGGAAAATTGGGTTGAGTTGACTTTGCAGGGGACATATTTCTATGGCTACGATGCCAACTCGACCCAGTTTTTCCCCTCACCCTCGCCGTCGAATGAAGTTTGGTAAACCTTCGAAAATGTCTGACAGTAGCATGAATAACATTACAATGTCTGACATGACTTCTTTTTGAGATATTTAGTGAATACTGTTCTGAACTTTTAACACAGAATCGCAGGCTTAGCCATGTTGCAAGAGCAGAACATTCGCAAAAATGAAAAAAGAATGAGGTTGAAATATCACTAATGGTATCTGTGATCATTGCCGGGCTAACTTATGAAGGAAGCTAAACCTGAGTAAATGTGTCTGTGATCATCAAAAACAGTGGTGACGAGAAAGAAAAATTTTCTGGCTTACTCGGGATCCACTCGGGAGCTTCCTCCTGAAAATAAAATAAAATTAAAATTAAAAATTTTCAAGGTGGAAATAGCACAGACAAGATTGTCTCCGAATCAGCACCATCCTGGATGCCGTTATACTCGTTTTTATTAATACTAGAGCAGTTTCGTATCGTATGTTTTCCCACGAAAAACGCTTAAAAAGTGGAATCGTACAATTTGCCCTGATTGCGAGAATTAAGATTTTGATGGACTTTTTTATTGTGTTTCATAGGCGTGCCCTTCAAGCTCTGTTGCTTCCTGAAATTATCCCTTGAAAAAACTAATGAAATCTATAATGACATTTACGAAGGTAGTATACATTAACGGCAAGTGGTATGCTTAGGAAAACTTAGAAACAAAAACGGAAATCGGGAGGGGAAAATTGAGGAATTGAATTGTTCCTCCCTGGTATTTTGCTAATACAAAATGGAGAAAATAAAATAAAAATTATACCTTAGAACCATGTGCACCGCGTGAATAAAAGCCAACATTTCCTCTTTCACCGTTCCCTATTAGCTGTTTTAGGTAACTTGGATTTGCCGATGCACAGAGCTAGAACTGAAGAAGGAAAGAAATATTGTCAATGCAGGCTTGTTTAAAAAGAAGGCATTACTCTTTCAATCACAAACCATCAAACTTCGGCCGCAAAATCAAACATCAACTTAAGGAATGGCAATTGGATGTGAGTTAGCCATGCTCTGTGACTTTGATCAGCTCAGGGATCGATTTGTATAAGTCAGCCGTGCCCTGACTTTAATCAACCCAGTGGTTCAGGGTTCGATCTAAGAGTTAGCCGTGCCCTGACTTCAGTTAGATCAGCCCAGAGATTGTTTAAGGGCACCTCGATATGTGAGTTAGCCATACCCTGACTTATATCAGCCCCATAGTTAGTCCTGACTGTGGTTCGACTGTGGTCTAGATTTGAACCTGCATGGGTATTAATAAAGGTTTTATCATGCCGGGAGTGAATCTATTTTCGAACTCACCTCGCGGTTTTTACTGCGCTCGGATAGTAGTACTAGTCTTCATAATTGTCGTGGTATCCATTTTTTTCTTGTTCGGTTTGCGAGGTGGACAAAGCCATAACAAATTGTACACTTATATTAGTTCGTTACTCAAATTTCCCCCAAGCCATCAGCAGTTGCAAAGTCTTTAACTTTTATAAAATCAGCTGCTGGGAAACTGTTGCTTTGTCAAATGATAATTGTTAAACACTAAACGTTATCAGCTATATGTACGCAGTTGCCTGCAGACCACTATTGTTGTAGCTAGCCATTTATTGATAGATCCATTATTAAACTAATCCAGTGCTTTGCTGGTCTTTCATACATGAAGTAGAAAACTAGCATGTGCATTTTTCCTCCCTCTCTCTGTTACAAATAACCGCCACAAACCTGTCAACATCTATCTTGCGCGGATTTAACGAACACCTGCCATGTTTCCTACGAGATGCTCTGCCATGATGAGGTGCTAAGGACGCAGACCAGCACGCATGGTTTCCTTCACTATAACTAACTGGTCTTCGATACTTGTCAACTTCTCCGTGTTTACTCATTTCAACTTTTTCTCTCCACATTTTGGTTTTCTCGTCTGCAAACGTGTCCACTCCTTTGTTGATTATATCCAAACCAACATCCATGGCGACTCGTCCATCTTTAGTATGATATGCTTTGGATGTGCCTCCGATGGCGCTGAATGCGAAGTCTGACGTCTTTTTGGTTTTCTCGTCTGCAAACG